TTCTCCTGCCTCAGCCTCCTGAGTAGCTGGGATTACAGGCACGCGCCACCATGCCCAGCTAATTTTTTGTATTTTTAGTAGAGACGGGGTTTCACCATGTTGACCAGGATGGTCTCGATCTCTTGACCTCGTGATCCACCCACCTCGGCCTCCCAAAGTGCTGGGATTACAGGCTTGAGCCACCGTGCCCGGCCTCTTTTTTTTTTTTTTGAGACGGAGTTTCACTCTTGTTGCCAGGCTGCAATGCAATGGCACGATCTTGGCTCACCGCAACCTCTGCATCCTGGTTTCAAGCGACTCTCCTGCCTCAGCCTCCCAAATAGCTGGGATTACAGGCACATGTCACCACACCCCGTCAATTTTTTGCATTTTTAGTACAGACGGGGTTTCTCCATGTTGCCCAGGCTGGTCTCAAACTCCTGACCTCATGATCCGCCTGCCTCAGCCTCCCAAAGTGCTGGGATTACAGGCGTGAGCCACCGCACCCAGCCCGCCTTTTCCTTTTTCTTCAGGGTATCGCTCAGTCATCCAGGCTGGAGTGATAACACTATCATGGCTCACTGCAACTTTGACTGAGGTCTTTTTCTTCAGTTTTAGGAAGGAGGGCTGTGATGAGGAATGTCTAGGCAGACCCCTGGGAGGCCTCCTGGCTAAAGCCCAGGCCACTGTAACAGCAAGGAGAGGAGATCAGAATGGGGCAAGGAAAGATGCCCCAGATGACCATGGCGGGCTGAATCACGGCCTCAAAGACGTCCATGCCCTAATCCCCCAAAACCTGTGACTGTGGCCTTGTATAGAAAAAGGGACTTTGTGACGTGATTAGGTGAAAGGTCTTCAGATGGAGAGATGATCTTGGATCAGCCAAGTGGCCCTAAGCATAATCACAGGACTCCTTCAGAGAGGGAGGCCAGGCAGTCCACATGGTAGAGAGAAGACGTGAGGATGGACATCCGGGTCAGAGAGGGGAGAGGATGCTGTGCTGCGGGCCTTGAAGATGGAGCAGTGGGCCATGAGCCAAGGAATGCTGGCGCCCTCTAGAGGCTGGGAAAGGCAAAAACACGGATTCTTCCCTGGAGCCTCCAGCAAGAGCACAAAACCTGTGAGTATCCTAGGTGGTTCAAGAAGCTTTCCGAAGGCCAGGCACAGTGGCTCATGCCTGTAATCCCAGCACTTTGGAAGGCCAAGGCAGGCGGATCACGAGGTCAGAAGTTCAAGACCAGCCTGGACAACATAGTCAAACCCCACTTTTAAAAAAAAAGAAAAAAAAAATGAGCTTTCTGAATGTCCTGGTAATATTACAGCAGGGCCCTGGGGACATGAGAGCTAAGGCTGGTTTTAGAGGAGGACCCCACAGTGATGGCAGACTTCCAGGAAAAGCAGAGCAGGCTCCTGGGGGCACTGAAACAGGCCGTTGAGGACTCCGTCAGGGTCCAAAGAACCGTAAAATGGGCCCCAGGGGCTGCTGGAAGAATGTCCTGAAGATTTTACAGGATCCCAAGGAAACCAGAGGGGACAGCTAAGGACAGGGCAGGTGCCTCAGGGTATTTTTGGGAAGAGCTGAGGATGCTGTAATCAGGGTACTCGGGAGGTTAAAGCATGTTCTTTCTGTGTCTTAGGAGCGGGCCTCGGGCGGTTCTCTGTGGATCTTCTCGCAGGACTCTGGGAGAATCAGGAAGGTGAAGACATTCGTGACAAGGAGAGCACAGATTAGAGATTTACCTGATGGTTAAGTTTTTTGTTGTTGTTTTTGAGACAAAGTCTCGGTCTGTTGCCCAGGCTGGGGTGTTAAGGCGTGATCTCGGCTCACTGAAACCTCCAAATCCCAGGTTCAAATGATTCTCCTGCCTCAGCCTCCCGAGTAGCTGGGATTACAGGTGCCCACGACCGGGCCAGGCTAATTTTTAGTACAGACAGGGTTTCGACATACTGGTTTCGAACTCCTGACCTCGGGTGATCCGCCTGCCTCGCCCTCCCAAAGTGTTAGGATTACAGGCGTGAGCCACCACGCCCGGCCTTTTTTTTTTTCTTTTTTTTTTGTAAATAGAGACAGGGTCTCCCTATGTTGCCCAGGTTGGTCTCAAACTCCTGGACTCAAGCGATCCTCCCACCTTGGCCTCCCAAAGTGCTGGAATTACAGGCATGCACCACCACGCCTGGCGTCCCATCAGACTCTGAACCAGCTAATTGTCCACTAATCCTGGAGACCAGTTCCTAAAATGAATCTCTCTCTGTGTATGCATATACACATTCTGTGGGTTCTGTTTTCCAGAGAGCCTGACCCAGCAGTCCCACTCCCGGTGTATACCCAAGAGAACTAAAAACAGACCAGGTGTGGTGGCTCACACGGTCATCCCAGCACTTTGGGAGGCCAAGGTGGGAGGCTGTCTTGAGCCCCTCAGTTTGAGACCAGCCTGGGCAACATAGCGGGGCACTATCTCTGCAAAAATGCAAAAATTAGCTGGGCCTGGTGGCGGGTGCCTGTAATTCCAGCTACTTGGGGAGGCTGAAGCAGGTGGAGCGCTTGACCTGAGAGGTTGAGGCTACAGTGAACCATGATTGTTCCACTGCAATCCAGCCAAACCCTATCTCAACTTAAAAAGAAAGAAAGAAAAGACTTCATGTTTGTTATATGATTCAATTTCTATGAAATGTGCAGAATCGGCGAATCTATTGAGACAGAAAGCAGAGGAATGGTGGCTGGGGGCTGGGAGCGGGGTGGTTAACGGGAGCAGACCTTCTGTTTGGGGGTGATAAAAAAGCTCTGCAACTCGATAGAGGTGACAGTTGCAAAGCATTGTAAATGTATTAAATGACAGTAAGGGTAAATTTTTTTTTTTTTTTGAGACAGAGTTTTGCTCTTGTTACCCAGACTAGAGTGCAATGGCACGATTTCGGCTCACCGCAACCTCCGCCTCCTGGGTTCAAGCAATTCTCCTGCCTCAGCCTCCTGAGTAGCTGGGACTACAGGCGCGCACCACCATGCCCAGCTCTTTTTTGTATTTTTAGTAGAGACGGGGTTTCACCTTGTTGACCAGGATGGTCTCGATCTCTTGACCTCGTGATCTACCCGCCTCAGCCTCCCAAAGTGCTGGGATTACAGGCGTGAGCCACCAAGCCCAGCCCAGTTTTTTTTTTTTTTTTGAGACGGAGTTTTGCTCTGTCACCAGGCTGGAGTGTATGGTGACAGAGTGCATGGCACCATCCCGCTCACTGCAATCTCCGCCTCCCAGGTTCAAGCAATTCTCCTGCCTCAGCCTCGAAAGTAGCTGGGATTACAGGCACGCACCACCACACCCGGCTAATTTTTGTATTTTTAGTAGAGATGGGGTTTCACCATGTTGGCCAAGATGGTCTCCATCTCCTGACCTCGTGATCTGCCCACCTCGGCCTCCCAAAGTCCTGGGATTACAGGAGTGAGCTACTGCGCCCGGCCAGTAAGGATAAATATTTGGAATATTTACCCCAGTGAAACAAGTGCATAGGGAGCTTTGTAGCAGGAGTGTGGGTGGGGCCGCAGCTATGGGGACTGTGTGGCCACTGAAGCCCCATCAGGATGTTAAAGAGCACCTGCAGGAACTTTTTAAGGGGATGCGGCGGGACTTGAAGGAGACACTATGGAGGCTTCCAGAAGGTTCTGATGAACAGTGGGCGCTGGGGAGGGCCACGGAGATACAAAGGGGCAGGAGGAGGATCCAGAGACCTCCAAGTTGTGGACTCTGGGAGCGTCCAGTTCCTTTCCTAGCTCTGCCAAGAATTCCCTGGGAGGTGGGCACCCTCCAAGTAAAAAACAGGAACCATGGAGAAGGAGGAAAAAGAACCACAAACGTTTTGAGAAACAAACAGGCTGGGCCTGGGGCCTGGGGTGTGCCCTGCAACTGGGGGGTGGGGCTGGATTTTGTTGGACTCAGGGAGCAGCAGCCTCCCCTCCCACAGGATGTGAGAGAGGAACCGGGGTCTCCAGTCACGGGAGCCTGGAGCCAGCCAGGGCCGCAGGCAGGAAGAGAGCGAGGCTGAAGGGAACGTGAGCAGAACAGGGCCCAACTGAGGGAGGAGGGCTGGGGGGTCTGGACTCCTGGGTCTGAGGGAGGAGGGCTGGGGGTCCGGACTCCTGGGTCTGAGGGAGGAGGGTTAGGAGCCTGGATTCCTAGATCTGAGGGAGGAGGGGCTGGGGGCCTGGATTCCTGGGTCTGAGGGAGGAGGGGCTGGGGGTCTGGACTCCCGGGTCTGAGGGAGGAGGGGTAGGAGCCTGGATTCCTAGATCTGAGGGAGGAGGGGCTGGGGGCCTGGACTCCCGGGTCTGACGGAGGAGGGGTAGGAGCCTGGATTCCTAGATCTGAGGGAGGAGGGGCTGGAGCCTGGATTCCTAGATCTGAGGGAGGAGGGGCTGGGGGCCTGGGCTCCCGGGTCTGACGGAGGAGGGGCTGGAGCCTGGATTCCTAGATCTGAGGGAGGAGGGGCTGGGGGCCTGGACTCCCGGGTCTGACGGAGGAGGGGCAGGAGCCTGGATTCCTAGATCTGAGGGAGGAGGGGCTGGGGGCCTGGACTCCCGGGTCTGAGGGAGGAGGGACAGGGGCCTGGATCCTAGATCTGAGGGAGGAGGGGCTGGGGGCCTGGACTCCCGGGTCTGAGGGAGGAGGGGCAGGAGCCTGGATTCCTAGATCTGAGGGAGGAGGGGCAGGGGCCTGGATCCTAGATCTGAGGGAGGAGGGGCTGGGGGCCTGGACTCCCGGGTCTGAGGGAGGAGGGGCAGGAGCCTGGATTCCTAGATCTGAGGGAGGAGGGGCTGGGGGCCTGGACTCCCGGGTCTGAGGGAGGAGGGACAGGGGCCTGGATTCCTAGATCTGAGGGAGGAGGGGCTGGGGGCCTGGACTCCGGGTCTGAGGTGAGGGAGGAGGGACAGGGGCCTGGATTCCTAGATCTGAGGGAGGAGGGGCAGGAGCCTGGACTCCTGGGTCTGAAGGAGGAGGGGCTGGGGCTTGAAGGCGGTGGAAGGGGCGGGGCCTGGACTCTCAGCCTATCAAGTTTCTGTAACTAATTAACCAGCGGCGCTCCAGTTTAGGGGTGAAAGTTCTTCGGGTGGGAGGCGGGCGTGGCTGGCCGTCGGGACGGAGCCCGCAGAGCCCCTCGTCGGCGTCCCGGTCCGGCCCTGCCCGCGGAGCCTCGGAGGAAGGGGCGGGCCGGGGGTCGGGAGGAGTCACGCGCCCCCTCCCGCCCCAGGTCGTCCTCTCAGCATGGGGCTCCCGCGGCCGCAGCCCTGGGTGCTGGGGCTCCTGCTGTTCCTCCTGCCCGGGAGCCTGGGCGCAGGTGAGGGCCGCTCCGGGCCGGGGCCGTGCAGCGGGCGGGCGGCGGGAGGCGGCCCCAGGCGGGACGGGGCGAGGCCAGCGGGACCCGAGTTACCCGGGAGCGCCGAGCGCTGCCTCCTCCACTCCGTTCCCTTTCTCTCGGTCTCCTCCCCGGCCTAAGGCTGCGAACCGCCTGTCGCGTCTGTCTCTGGGTCTCCGTGCCCTTCTCTCTCTCTGGGTCTGTCCCCCCCCCCCGTCTGTGTCTCCCCCTCTCTCTCTGGGTCTCTGTCCCCCTCTCTCTGTGGGTCTCTGTCCCCTCCTCTCTCTGGGTCTCTGTCCCCCTCTCTCTCTGGGTCTCTGTCCCCCTCTCTCTGTGGTCTCTGTCCCCTCCTCTCTCTCTGGATCTCTGTTCCCCTCTCTCTGGGTCTCTGTCCCCCTCTCTCTCTGGGTCTCTATTCCCCTCTCTGGATCTCTGTTCCCCTCTCTCTGGGTCTCTGTCCTCCTCTCTCTGGGTTTCTGTTCCTCTCTCGGAATCTGTCCCCCTCCCTCCATAATAGATTCTTCTCCCTCCCTGGGTGTCTGTCCCACTGCAGTCTAGTTCCCACCCGTGTGCTCGCTTCAGCTCTGTCTCTGTCTGCAGAGAGCCACCTCTCCCTCCTGTACCACCTCACCGCAGTGTCCTCGCCTGCCCCGGGGACTCCTGCCTTCTGGGCGTCGGGCTGGCTGGGCCCGCAGCAGTACCTGAGCTACAGCAGTCTCCGGGGCCAGGCGGAGCCCTGTGGGGCTTGGGTCTGGGAAAACCAAGTGTCCTGGTATTGGGAGAAAGAAACCACAGATCTGAGGATGAAGGAGAAGCTCTTTCTGGAAGCTTTCAAAGCTTTGGATGGCAAAGGTGAGACTCGGACTCCTGGGTCTCAAGGGGCGAGAGGCTGGGGCCGTGCTTCTGGGCCCCGCTTACCTGCGTGTGGGGGCCCCAGGTCCCTACACCCTGCAGGGGCTGCTGGGCTGTGAACTGGGTCCTGACAACGCCTCGGTGCCCACCGCCAAGTTCGCTCTGAACGGCGAGGAGTTCATGAGTTTCGACCTCAAGCAGGGCACCTGGGGTGGGGACTGGCCTGAAGCCCTGGCCATCAGTCAGCGGTGGCAGCAGCAGGACAAGGCGGCCAGCAAGGAGCTCACCTTCCTGCTACACTCCTGCCCCTACCGGCTGCGGGAGCACCTGGAGAGGGGCCGCGGAAACCTGGAGTGGAAGGGTGAGCCCCCTGCAGCCCAAGCTGTTCGTCCTCTCCCCCGCCACGACCCCTGCCTCAGGGCTCCTGCCAGGACCCTCAGTTGGCCTCCCACTGAAGCCCATGGTCTGCCCCCGCTTCCTCAGGCGTCCTTCTGAACCCAGCACTCCCTGCCCCCCACCCGCTCACAGCCTTCACATGGCTCCCCAGAGACCCCCCCAGGATAAACTCCTGGCTTCCTTGCCTTTGTGTGTGTGTGTGTGACAGAGTCTCACTCTGTCGCCCACACAGGAGTGCAGTAGCATGATCTTGGCTCACTGCAACCACTGCCTCCCGGTTCAAGGAATCCTGCCTCAGCCTCCCTGTAGTCCACAGGTGCTCACGACCACACCCAGCTAACTTTTGTATTATTATTTTTTTTTTGAGACGGAGTTTCGCTCTTGTTACCCAGGCTGGAGTGTAATGGCGCGATCTCGGCTCACCGCAACCTCCGCCTCCTGGGTTCAGGCAATTCTCCTGCCTCAGCCTCCTAAGTAGCTGGGATTACAGGCATGCGCCACCATGCCCAGCTAATTTTTTGTATTTTTTAGTAGAGATGGGGTTTCACCATGTTGACCAGGATGGTCTCGATCTCTTGACCTCGTGATCCACCTGCCTTGGCCTCCGAAAGTGCTGGGATTACAGGCTTGAGCCACCACGCCCGGCAACTTAATTTTTGTATTTTTAGTAGAGACGGGGTTTCACAATATTGGCCAGGCTGGTCTCGAACTCCTGACTTTGTGATCCACCTGCCTCAGCCTCCCAAAGTGCTGGGATTATAGGGGTGATCCATTGTGCCTGGCCTTTGCCTTTTTTCTTTTTTGAGACAGATTCTCACACTGTCTCTCCAGGCTGGAGTGTGGTGACACAGTCTCGTCTCTCTGCAGCCTAAACCTCCCAGGCTCAAGCGATCCTCCCACTTCAGCCTCCCGAGTAGCTGTGACACAGCCCAGCAGCAGCACACCAGCTCACTTTTTGTTTTTCTAGACGCGGTGTCTCACTGCGTTGCCCACGCTGGTGTGGAACCCCTAGGCTCAAGTGGCCCTCCTGCTTTGGCCTCCTGAGGAGCTGAGATTACAGGTGCACACCACCATACCTGCCTATTTATTTATTTAGAGATGGAGTTTCTCTCTTGTTACCCAGGCTGGAGTGCAGTGGCGCAATCTCAGCTCACTGCAACCTCCGCCTCCTGGGTTCAAGCGATTCTCCTGCCACAGCTTCATGAGTAGCTGGCATTACAGGCACACGCCACCATGCCTGGCTAATTTTTTGTATTTTTAGTAGAGATGAGGTTTTACTACATTAGCTAGGCTGGTCTCAAGACTGCTGACTTCAAGTGATACACCCATCTCAGCCTCCCAAAGTGTTGGGATTATAGGCGTGAGCCACCGCGTCTGGCCATACGTGGCAAATGTTTAACACTTGTAGAGATGGCATCTCACTGTGCTGCCCAGGCTGGATTCAAACTCCTGGCCTCAAACAGTTCTCCCACTTTGGCCTCCCAGAGTGCTGCGATGACAGGTGCTCGGCCTTCCTGGCTTCATGTCCTCCTCAGACCCACCCAGCAGCACCGGTCTCTACGCAGCCGTCAGTCTACACAACAGCCACCCAACATAAGCAGTGTCCTCCCTCTGAGCATTTGCTCGGCGACTTCCCCCTGCTGATCCACCGTCCCCTCTCTGCATATGCACCGGCCCTCCTTATTCTTCAAGGTCGGAGCTGGACATTAGTTCCCCTGAGAAGCCCTCCCTCAGCTCTGTAGGGCAGAGTTCACTGTTTCCTCCCCGGAAGCCCCCACATCCCCATTCATTGAACAAATGTTGGCCAAGAGCATTCGCAGTGCCAGGCACTGCTCTGGCCTTGAGCAAAAGGGGAAGTGACACAGTTCACCGTCTGCGGCTCCCAGGCTGCTGGAAAAAGAAAGATGTCAGCTGGAGAGTTGCGCAGATACTCATTCCAAGGGCCAAAAAGGAGAAGGTGACATTCAAACAGGTAGATCTTCCTTTTTTTTGTTTTGAGATGGAGTTTCGCTCTCATTTTCCAGGCTGGAGTGCAGTGGTGCGATCTCAGCTCACTGCAACCTCCACCTCCTGGGTTCAAGCGATTCTCCTGCCTCTACCTCCTGTGTAGCTGGGATTACAGGTGCCAGGCTGGAGTGCAGTGGTGCGAGCTCGGCTCACTGTAACCTCCACCTCCCAGGTTCAGGCGATTCTCCTGCCTCAGCCTCCCAAGTAGCTGGGACTACAGGCACGAGCCACCACACCCAGCTAATTTGTGTATTTTTTAGTAGAGTTGGGGTTTCACTATGTTGGCCAGGATGACCTCGATCTCTTGACCTCGTGATCCACCTGCCTCAGCCTCCCAAAGTGCTCAAATTACCGGTGTGAGCCACTGCACCCAGACTGATTCTTTGTATTTTTAGTAAAGATGGGGGTTTCTCCATGTTGGTCAGGCTGGTCTCAAACTCCAACCTCAGGTGATCCACCTGCCTCTGCCTCCCAAAGTGCTGGGATTACAAGCAGGAGCCACCACGCCTGGCCCCTTCTTCCTTTTTTAAGTAGGGATTTTTTTTTTTTTTTGAGACAGAGTCTCACTCTGTCACCCAGGCTGGAATGCAGTGGCGTGATCTTGGCTCACTGCAACCTCCACCTCCCAGGGTCAAGCAGTTCTCTTACTTCAGCCTCCCAAGCAGCTGGGATTACAGGTACACACCACCATGCCTGGCTAATTCTTATATTTTTACTAGAGACGGGATATCACCATGCTGGCTAGGGTGGTCTCGAACTCCTGACTTTGTGATCTACCCACGTCGGCCTCCCAAAGTGCTGTGATTACAGACGAGAGCCACTGTGCCCAGTCTAGGCAGGGAAAATTTCAAACCACACTTAAGTAGAAACAACAAGAACCAGGCGCAGTGGCTCACACCTGTAATCCCAGCATTTTGGGAGGCTGAGGCGGGTGGATCACTTGAGGTCGGCCAACATGGCCAAACCCGTCTCTACTAAAAATAGAAAAATGCCACACACACACACACACACACACACACACACACACACACACCAGCCGGGCGTGGTGGCTCATGCCTGTTAATTCCAGCACTTTGGGAGGCCGAGGCGGGTGGATCACGAGGTCAAGAGATGGAGACCATCCTGGTCAACATGGTGAAACCCTGCCTCTACTAAAAATACAAAAAATTAGCTGGGCATGGTGGCACATGCCTGTAATCCCAGCTACTCAGGAGGCTGAGGCAGGAGAATTGCCTGAACCCAGGAGGCGGAGGTTGTGGTGAGCCGAGATCGCGCCATTGCACTCCAGCCTGGGTAACAAGAGCAAAACTCTGTCTCAAAAAAAAAAAAAAAAAAAGAAAGCAAGGAAAAAACACTAAAAAAGCCTGGTGTGGTTGCATGTGCCTGTAGTCCCAGCCACTGGGGAGGCTATGGTGGGAGGATCGTTTGAGCTGAGGAGTTTGAGGCTGCAGTTCTGAACTATGATTGCAACACTGTACTCCAGCCCAGATGACAAACCCAGGCCCTGTCTCAAAATGAAAAAAAAATATGGTGGCTGGGTGTGGTGGCTCACGCCTATAAATCCCAAAACTTTGGGAGGCCGAGGCAGGTGGATCACATAAGGTCAGAGTTCAAAACCAGCCTGGCCAACATGGTGAAACCCCGTCTCTACTAAAAATATAAAAATTAGCCAGGCGTGGTGGTGCTCACCTATAATCCCAGCTACTCAGACAGAGGTTGCAGTGAGCCAAGATTGCACCATGGCACTCCAGCCTGGGTGACAAGAACAAAACTCTGTCTCAAAAAAAAAAAAAAAATCTATTTGTTTTGGTGTCCAATTTTTTTTTTTTCTTTTTTTTGAGATGGAGTCTCTCTGTGTCACCCAGCCTGGAGTGCAGAGGTGAGATCTTGGCTCACTGCAACCTCTACCTCCCAGGTTCAAGCAATCCTCCTGCCTCAGCCTCTCGAATAGCTGGGAGTACAGGTGTACACCACCATGCCCAGCTGATTTTTGTATTTTTAGTAGAGACAGAGTTTCACCATGTTGGTCAGGCTGGTCTCGAACTCCTGACCTCATGATCCACCCACCTCAGCCTCCCAAAGGCTGGGATTGAATACAGGTATGAGCCACCATGCCCGACTGGAGTCCAGTTTTTTATCAGAGAGGTAGTTTGCAAATATTTTTTTCACTCACTGGGTTTTCTTTTAGTTGTTTTAACTGTGCCTTTCACAAAGCAGAAGTTTTTAACTTTGATGAAATCCAGTTTATTCTTTTCTTTCTAGCATGTATTATGCTTTTGGTGTTTTATCTCAGAAGTAATTGCTAAACCCAACGTCAGCTAGATCTTCTCCTGTGTATTTTCAGAGTTTTAAAGTTTTGCGTTTTACAGTTAGGTTTGTGATTCATTTTGAGGTAGTTTGGGTTAATTGTGATCTTGAGTGTCTTTTGATTCATAGGTTTCCATTTTCTTTTTTTCCCTTGTAATTGTGCTTTGAAGTAAGTCAGCTGCACGTCCTATTTGAGTTTCCTGCAGACTGGACTTTGCTCTTTGCATTCTGTGATGTTGCTGGACATAGTCCTCCTTCTCTTCTGTAAAGGAGCAGCTCAGTCTAGAAGCTTGATCAGATTCTGGTTCAATTTTTTTTTTTTAAAGATGGGGTTTCAGCTTGTTGGTCAGGCTGGTCTTGAACTCCCAACCTCAGGTGATCTGTCCTCCTTGGCCTCCAAAGTGCTTGGATTACAGGCGTGAGCCACAACGCCCGGCTCTGGTTCAATTTTTATGCCAAGAAAACTTCCTGGGTTGTTGGTGGGTACGTCTGTCTGCACAGGCTGCAAACACGGCTCGCTTCTGTGCGTGATTCAGGTGCTGTTATGAAGTTCTCTGTCAGGTTTTCTCCTGATGGCTTTAGCAGGCAGCAGTGCCCATTGCCTTAATCTTTTTTTTTTTTTTTTTTTTTGAGAGGGAGTCTCGCTCTCAC